ACTGATCATCCAAGTCTACCTAGGGGAACCATCGCGGGATGATGTCGAAATCGTGAAAGGGGTCAAACTCCGGTGGGGGAAACAACACCAGTATCACGTTTGCAATGTTTACGTGCGGGTGGGTGTCGACTCCAAAACCAGTCTGCAGGGTGTCACCGTGATCGTGGAAGACGCTATATCACTAACCAAGATCTTCCTTCCCGACAACATACACTTCATGGGGTTGAAGTGCACCCCTGAACTATTATCAGAAAACCAGTTGGAAATTATATCGTAATAGTATTATAGCAATGACCAGTCATCATCCCAACGCTACACTTAACGACCTAGGGGACACGGAGGGATTCGATCAGCCTGGTGAGGAAGACACCTTATACATCCTACACTTCAAAGACAACGTGTATAGGCGTGTGTCGTTATCAGATTTTAAAGAGCCTGAATGGTTGATCAACTTAACCCTCACCTCACCTTATATCTCCTTGAAACAAAATAATACTATCTCTGAGATTAGGAACAACGGCATCATACTAGGATCGTTCATTCCGGAATATAGTGTACAAGTCATACCAATACCAGACCACTCGGGCAACATGTTAGCTTCCAGTGGGGAGGTGAAGACAGAGCTCACATTACTCGATTACCAAGAGGTCTTTAAAAAGGTCGCGGAAAACTTCACACTCATCATAGACATCTATCTCGGGGAGCTAGGGGTTTGGCCCCATAGGTTTATTAAACTTTTAGGTGATATTATGTTACGTTGGAAAGACAAGCATGAAAACCAACGTTGCCGTATTATTAGGGTATCGGGAAATGAACCTTTAGCAAGCCTTGATGGAGTTCATGTCATAAATGGACGTAGAGCTGAGACCACGAGTTTTTACACGCAAGTTAATCTAAGTATTATCAGCTTTAAGTACATTAATCGAAGGTTAAATGAAACCCAATTAAAATATCTTTTATAATATATATTATAGGATGGGGCTATACCCAGTCGTAGAGGAAGTAGCGAAGACCCTGGAAACTGTAGACGGGTTCCGCTTGAGGCAGTTATGCGATGTAAAACGCCAACTAGAACAAGACCGCGACACGCGGAAAGCACTATATAAGAAGTACCATAGAGCTTTCAATGCCGTGGACGGGACTGATACTGCCCTTATGGCAACCAGCATGGGACTAGGGGCGGCAGGTGTTGGGTTGTTAGCTACCATCGTGGCTGCACCTATAGTGCTAAGCATTGAAATAACAGCTGGGGTGACAGGGGTGTTAGGGTTGGTGCTTAAATTTGCATCACGCAGACTGCATCGTAAGGCGTTGAAACACGATGAGATCAGGGTTCTGGCTGAAGCAAAGCTGAACACGGTAAGTGAGCGTATTTCCACGGCACTCACTGACAGTAAGATCTCAGAGGAGGAGTTTTGTTCAATCCTCTCTGATCTCACAATATATAACAAAATGAAACAAGAGATTCGATCCAAGTCTCGTAAGTCTGCTATCAGTGAGGACGAGAAAAAAAAGTACATAGAACAAGGGGTGAAAAAAGCCCAGCAAGCCTTTATTACGAACACCAAAGAGATCATAGGCGATTCACATTAAACTGTTTCATCGAGGTAAACATGGCATAGTGTCATAGCGGCACGTTAGACGCAGCCCAGTATTGGATGGTGCAACCCAGAATACCAACACACTCCAGCCATACCCCCGGTGCGGCTAGGAGGTCCCGCTATCGTCCCAAACTTTTTCATAGTAGGGGTAATGGTAGCAAGAGCTAAGGGTCCGACCAAAGCCTTACTTGTGAAATAAGGCTTTGCAGAGGCTTTGGTTGAAAGTGATCCAGAACCCCCATTGTATATACTACTGTTTCTCTTGACATTCTGTAAGGTCAACTGTTTTAAGGCTATGAGAATGACGGTATGATTTTTCTAACTTCCTAAATTACATACACAGGATGGAGTGACTAGCAGAATTAAAATGTCGATAGACACAACTGGAAACGATTCTATTCTATTGACGTGTGTCGTGATGATTCGACCTAGATTTCTCTCTCAAACGTTAACGTCGGGAACGTGCCCAGTTTACTTCTTGAACGGTTATATGAAAAATGCCGATTTTAAAATAAAAGGTTCATAATAGCCTGTATGAAGACAATCATCACTAAGTCAGACAACATATGTGGTCAGCGAAAGCCCAAGCTTCAAAATCAGTTCGGAGTAGATTAGCTTAAGAGGACACTGCAAGACGATCGACTCATGCCATGTCATATTGGCTCCGTGATTTCATACGAGTCAGCAGACTGTTGATTTCCAACACGAAGATCAAGGTCGTATGACTTGTTTACATGTTATTGCCTTTATTAGTAACCCTATAGTAACCTCATACTTTGCAGAATACTAAACAAAACGAGTCCACACATGTATATGGTATTTCAAAGGGATTCATTCGCGAATCCTGCTCGAGGTATCGACGAAAAGTCATGACTTGAAGTTGAAGTAGAAACATCAAGTTTTAGATTATTTCGAAGTGTCTATGTATGTCTTGTGTGTGTTCGTGCTGTAGAGGCTCTACACTCATGGCTGGGGCAGATAATTAAACTGGAAGCGAATTGTATTATATGGGCATAATTTTGTATGTTTCATGTAGCCACCAAATTCTGAACATGTGTCGGTCGGTCGGTAGGGGAGAAAAGCTTAATAAAATCAAAATGATCTAAATATTATTCTTGATTCTCATTTATTGTAATTCATATTGCAATTTCTCGCCTTCTTTTAACGACTGCGACTGATTAAAAGATAAATATTTTATATGACGAGGCGGTACGCTTTAGGTTTGAGTCGGCAGTGTTGGAATGTTTGGTAGGGTCGGCAATTAGATTAGAATGGTCGGTCGGGCGATGAGAAACACACAAATTATAAATGCTGCCCTTTCAGAAACCAGTAGCTCTGTGGCCCACCAAATAGGGCTTATACTGGAATCAAACCAATGAACAAACGAATTAATTATTTAAGCAATATATAATTAGTACGAGGCATTTTTATAATTTTGACATATTCACAGAATACCGTCATGCAATATTTTTTTCCACTTACTTTTCAAAAATATATTAATATATCATGGAATGTAAGAATGTTAATGCAGCTGTTCAAGTCACACTACACTAAACCAGGCGATGCGTAAACATAGCAACATCTTCACCCGGTTCCCAACGTTTAGAATTGTGGAAGCATGACCAATGTTGAAATTTTAGGAATTCATCTGTCTTTATTATTGGAATCAATAGTGGATGTTTCGTGTGTCTAATGAAATGCCACGTATTTAGCGACACGACTCGATAGATATATCAAATATCACTAAACACCTAGACTATCTTATTTATTTTAAACCCCCTTTTTCTTTCTTTACTTTTGATTTAATTAACTTTAAACAAACGTTCATCCGAGAAAATTCCAAGATCTCCCAACTGTAAACTAACAGACTGTTCACGTTTATAGGCTAAAAGACATCGTTCGCAAAAATATACAAAATTGAGACATGTATTTATATACATTCCTATCCTTGTTTGTCATTACATGGGTAAGGGCACCTCTGATAATAATCATTTTGGTTTTAGCGAAAACGTAAAAACTCGGTCCTGGCATACGAAAACATAAAACCAAAAAACAAACAGTGCACGCCGATAGAAAGTGGAGAGAACGATTGAGACATAACATCCAGCTATTTACTGTGTCATGAAGCAAAACTACAGGTAATGACTGTTGCCAATCGAGTGTGTCGGTTGCACGTAAAATGACCGTACGCTGACAGCACGTAACAAAGGCAAATTTGCACAAAGCGAGGCATGGACTCGACTCAGCGGGGGCGAGTCATTCACAGTCGCTCTAGCTCAGTGCCGGTGCATTGAATGACTTGGCAATCAGCTGATCGGTGTAAATGTTCCCCGCTTGACGTTGGTCATCCGATGCCAACGCCACCTGAAGAAATGCATTTTATGAAATAAGTAGTACCAGCAAAGTGATAGGTCAAATGAATGTCACTGCAGTGAAAATATACCTTTTAATTTAAACTAAGAAATCTACTTCCTTTGCACTTTCGTATATATACGTGAGTGAGTGAGTGAGTTTGACGCTGCACCCAGCTATATTCCAGCTACATGTCTGTAAATAATAGAGTCTGGACCAGACAATCCAGTGATCAACATCATGAGCGTCAATCTGCGCAAATTGGAACCGATGACATGTGTCAAGCAAGTCAGCGAGCCTGACCACCGATCCCATTATTCGCCTCTTACGACAAGCATGGGTTACTGAAGATCAATATTCTAACCCGGACCTTCACGGGTCTAAGGGTGTGTGTATGTATATACACTTAACTATATATATACTTATACATCGCACACATCCACGCAACTAATACATGCTCAAGGTGTTGGTATTTTCCCCTCGATCTCAACGGCACAACGAATTATCAATATCAACTCCCTGGGAGTATACAACTCTTGCAGCCACTAGACGCACTGAGTTATTGTGCTTTTCCCATCCTTTCAAGGTACCCATTCACAGCTGGGTGGACTGGAACACACAGTCATAGTACTTTGTCCAGCTTTATTGCACGTTGCTGTACCAACAACTAGGTGTTTGCACGTATTCATATGGCCACCATCTGCTCATATACCAACGGATTCGTGGGTTATTTTGAAGTGCACAGGGTTGTGTACTGTACAGTGGGGTATAATAAATGCGTTTATATAATATTGTTAGTTGTATTGCCATTGTACTGCTACTCTATTTTGTACTGAAGTTGCAATTACTTTGCAGTAACCTGTATTTATTTGTAAATCATGTTAATTCTATAGCATTTCCTTATTTTCTCGTTTTACACTGAAACCTTTTTCTGGCAGATTTCTGGACGAACGTATTGTTCCGTTTTGTCGACACACATAGCAATTTGTACACTTAAGCAGGAAATGTAAGATTTGCTGTGAGACCTGAACTTTCAACTGAAAAGTGTTACACAATGAAGCCTTTATTTCGACAGGGGAAATGACAAGTCATTTCGAGTTATACAAGGAGATGTTTCAATATTGAAAGTGACATAATGCACTGATTTTCTGTTCTAGGGCCAGTCTTATAATATGTGTGAGACTTTGTAACTGATTGATTGAATGAGACCTTTTGTCGTTTAATGCCGCACTCAGCAATGTTCCAGCTATCTGGCGGCGGGCTGTAAATAATGGAGTCTGAACCAGGCAAGCCAGTGACAAACAGCATGAGCCTTGTATTACAACTGGGATACGATGACATGTGTCAAGCGAGCCTGACCACAACCGATCCTGTAAGTAGCCTCATACGACATGCATGGGTAACTGAAGACCAGTTCTAACCCACATCTTCACGGGTCAATTAAATGAATTAACAGGATGAAAAACATTTGTTCATTGGTGCTGTATTTGACGGACTAAACGTAAAACCAGGCGCATCTGCCTCACCCTTTACAATAAGAAACAGAGTGAACAAGGAGCCCTGTTGGACTGCTCCCTGCTATTGTTCCGTTTTTGTTACTCTTCGGTGGAAGATTCTTCGAAGAAAGTGCATATGCAAACTAGAATCATACAGCACTGGTTTCAGATGGGTGTAGCTCCCGTTTCTCAGTTGAACGGTCGCTGTTGCTTTAAACATAACATCAGTAGGAAACCTAGAACAGGAGATAAACAACAACTACTAAGTAGTTGATCATATTTTGACGAAACTGCATAATTCTTTATGTAACATATCATATATAAGCTCTTCTATTATTTTCAATGTACCCCGCTTACAAGCGAGTAACATTTCAATGTACCCCGCTGTCAATCGCAACTCATTTGGTATTTCGTGGTAGTAATTCTTTATCTCGAATAACACTGAATCGCGTATGATGTACGTTAATTACCGATGTTTTGCGAATGCGAATCGATGGAGGGGAGATAACTCTAAATCTGTTTTTCTGGCCAGAAAAATCTAGCGATGGCTTCAAAAAGATTTGTAGCCGTGTTTCAAACAATTCAAAAGTAACATTAAGGTGTTAGGTTAGATAAATACGTTGTTCACTGGTTTCTCGGGGTCTTTATGTAACATATCATATATACTACCCATCAAAAGTTTAGACTCACTTAAAGCACTCACTATATGTTATGTATGTATGTATGTGTGTATGTATGTATGTATGTATGTATGTATGTATGTATGTATGTATGTATGTATGTATGTATGTATGTATGTATGTATGTATGTATGTATGTATGTATGTATGTATGTATGTATGTATGTATGTGTGTGTGTGTGTGTGTGTGTGTGTGTGTGTGTGTGTGTGTGTGTGTGTGTGTATGTATGTATGTATGTAATGTATGTATGTGTGTGTGTGTATGTATGTATGTATGTATGTGTGTGTGTGTGTGTATGTATGTATGTATGTATGTATGTATGTATGTATGTAATGTATGTATGTATGTATGTATGTATGTATGTATGTATGTATGTATGTATGTATGTATGTATGTATGTATGTATGTATGTATGTATGTATGTATGTATGTATGTATCTATGTATCTATGTGTGTGTGTGTGTTTGTGTGTGTGTGTGTGTGTGTGTGGTTACATCGAAGATGAATTTCTCCACTAACTTTGGGGAACCAACTGCAGACCTTATGCAGATGAATTGCAGAGGATCATGCATCAAATTGCTGAAAAACATGTGCAAATAAAGAATTTCATTATTTACTGAACTCATGACAATAATCTTTTCAATGTTACGAATTTGTTTTACAATACATTAGTTCATGTGTAGACAGTACCTTTAAACAGTATGGAATATTTTGCAAAATCTAGTTTAGAACAGTTGACTGAAGTAAGTGGCTAAATTTATACTAGTGAGTCTAAACTTTTGATGGTTTATACGAAAACCAAACATTTTGATGGTAGTATATTTGGGATTACACTACTTGCACATAGTAATCAGTAATGCCAATTATTCAAGACAATATCAAGAACGAGCAGCTGCATACCCGACTATATCCCAGTCATTGCAATACAATGTAGACATGGATAATTATGAATTTAATCGAGGCGTGTGCGAGAAACATTGTGATAAAACACTGAATGTTCCAGGAGGCTTATATCAAACCATACGTACTGACGACGGAGCACCCAGTCGACAGGAGGAAGAACCCATACCACTCAAAGTTGTCCTGGATGTAGGGAGCGATGACGGCAATGATCACGGACATGACCGCCTGCAAAGTACGAAATATCTCTCTGCTCATGAAAGGAAAAATGCAGAGGACACAGCGTCTGAAAACGATACAAAACCATCGCGCCTGATTTTATTTTAGATTTATAAGAACAATATCTGTTCTTATGGGTGTTGCCGAAGTGGTACACGTCTTAGGCCTGGATCAGATAGAGCTATAGTGCCACATAAACCTTACACACGAAGTTGAAATATTGCTCACCGCTGAGTTGAACACAGCTCACTCACTGACTCTTACCTGCTCACCCACTCACCTAGATATCGGTCCCGGTCTGATATCCTTTGGTGTCGTGGCTAATATATTGTCCTGCAGTGTCAACTCACTCTCTCACCAACTCACCCAGATATCAGTTCCGGCCTAGTATAATTTTGTATTGTGGCTAATATATCGGCGTGCAGTGTCCGCGGAATTTGTGGTACAAACCTGAGAGGTGAACAACAGTCCATAGTTCTGTATGAAGTAGCGTTGTCCAAATGTTTGCACTGTGACAGATGGAAATAACGAATAGTTTCCACTGAAAGTTCCGAACGTCAGGCATACGTAGATGAAGAATAGTGGTTTTCCTGCTAGTTCCGTCAACTTATACGTTGCCATAAGCACCGTGAATACTGTACATAAGGACATCATGGCAACCTACAACATAGACAACCATATACCATGTAACATGAAGGCTGACACGTTGTAAAACACGATCCACCTTATCTGGCATACTGGAATGGCTTATTACTTTCCTTGAGTCGCCATTCACCTATGCATGAAAATGTATCTCTGCAAAAAATATTTCGTTGTTCGTGTCATATACCTTAAAGGACACTTTGTCGCCAAAATGCCCCCACCAGATTCTGCCCCCAGCATTGAATATGGACGCACAGCTTCCAACAACGGCCAAGAAGTGATCATCATGGATGAACGTTTGTCCGTATGCCTGCAATGATCAGTTCAAAATGTTCAAAGTCTTACAATGCATCACTGTAGCATTCATAAACTCAATCAGCACGTTTCCACTTGTTAAAGCTACATTAATCAAATGCTATTTCTGGATGACAAGTGCGAGATATTTACATAATACTTGTAATTAATAGCCCTCAGTACATTCATGAAAGAAGATCATAGTTATAATGGGCACATTTTAAAGGAACATGTCCTCCCAAAACCCCGGACTCTGCTATATGAGGGTTCTGACAAATTGATCCGACTCAGAAACACTACGTACTTTCCAGAATGTTGAAAAGAACACAAGACCAACACTGTTGAAGAGCAGCGTGAACCACAGCAGCCAAAAGTCCTTCATCTTCCAACTGTGTTTCCATGACACATAGTGCTCTTGTTCATCATGGCCGTAGCTACAATCATGATACGATAGCTGTTTGATTTGCTATAATTGTAAATATTAGATCAGCATCGATGACCCAAGCTGTTTCTCATATTCTACGTGTGTTTAATCGTTGGTAACTGTTTCGTAATGGCAAGTGCCGTATGAACAACTAGACCAGACAAACAACAAGTTCACATTTAAGCTGTTCATGAATCTGACTAACAATAAATTGTGCATTGAAATACCGAATGAGAATATTCAGCAGAGACATTCGCCAATAAAGGGCAACAGCTGAACCTAGTTCAGTAGGCGTGGTCTAATTTAGATATTAATTAATCGAATCGTGATCACAAATTATTTCCTCGTTAGCCTTGTCTGTGGTAAGTATCATTATTCATTTAATCATTGCTCTACATACTCCATGACCAAGGTATGAGCAGAAGGCTAACACCTGACATTAAATAACAAAACCCAAGTTGTTTGAACATGCATCCATGTGTAACTGAACCTCGTGATGGAAGTAGGCTCTCTTTCGGGTGAGAGTGATGTCTCTTCGTCGTCCACATCCTCCTCAACGTCCACGAGTCTAGTCTGCCGTGTCCGCCAACCAATAAATACAGGAAAGAAATGTCACAACGTGTGCTCCTGCAACGTGTGCTCATGCAACGTGTGCTCATCAACATGTACTCAAGTTTGTTTGTTTTGTATATTTCATCTATATAACTGCAGTCCAAACAATCTAAACTGGACCAGACAATCCAGTGATGAACATCATGAGCATCGACCTATGCAGTTGAGATACAATGACTGGTCAACCATGACAGCGAGCCTGCCCACCCGAACCTGTTAGTCGCCTCTTGAGACAAGCATGTGTTACTGAAGTCCAACTCTAACCCGGATCGTCACGGGTTATGTAGATTCTAAGGTCATCCGCGTATTTTAGGTGTTATACATGAAATTAAATATCGTAATATTCTTATAAAATTCCGATCAGGCTTATTACGATTTAAACAAAATGAAGGAAGATGGTTAAATATTGATGTATCTCTACGCACAAATTCGGTATAGAGGATGAATTCTATTTTCTTTTAGTATTCAATTTTATTCTGAAGTAAGATTACGTTATTTTCCACATGTCTATAACCAAATTCCATATATATTTATATTCAAAAGCCTGTTAACTTCCGCTTACAGTGAATCATTATTAATTTATGGAAATGTATATAAGAAGAGACAGACTTTGTTAAACTCTTAATACGTATTGTTTTACATCATGTTTCCAATATATGCTGATTGTATATATGTTATATGTGTATGGGCCTGTGGATAAAGATCTTTGATTTTGAGGTGAAAAGGTGAAAGAGTGAAACATAACAACATATATAACAATATTTTCACGCATAATTATTTCAGTTAAAATCTTCATATTGATTGGGAAAATTTGTTTAATTAATTTACGATGTATATCGAGCAACATTATTGAAGAATATTCTGAACTGGGGAAGGATTTGAATGTATTTTAAATACTGGCGAAACATATTCACTGGTAAGTTGTTTTGAATGCACATCAGCACCGTATGTGAGATCGTTATTACATATGAAGAACTGTGTCTGTAGGAGAGCCTAGAGATTTCGTGTTGGTTGATGGTGGCAAGGACCGAGTTGTGGTCTCCAGTGTGGGTGAACCCTTGTGTGTTAATGTCAAAGGACACCTCACCTGGGGCGGATCCCTTAGCAACAGGATTCCGAACGCTTGTAGAACTACGTAACATCCTCCCAGAACGATGAAGACGAGGGGGACTCTGCTTAGAATAGCTCGTTGTATAAAGTAGCTGCAATACAAGTTGAAAGTTAGTGAGTGAGTGAGTGAGTTGGCACTTTGGCAATATTTCAGCCATATCGTGACTAAAACAAGTTATAGATTAACAATTAGTAAAGATAGATTATAAAATCTTGTCACCGAAGGACAGTAAAACAACTACAAACATCACAGATATACTTGTAAAACTACTAATACAATCTAAAACAATTTTTCTATAGAGGACAATACAATATAAAAATAGGCTATAGATCACCAACAACTGAACGTAGATCACCATACTAGGGACCATGGCGACTGTAAGAAATGTTAGCCAAAATTAAAATAACAAGAATACTACGTTTAAAAATCCTGGTAAGTTTAAATTGACTTTGAAAGTGTTGGGACATACGTATCCTCTCAGGAGGACAATAATTTAACGCTACTTCAACCCCCTTTCAGGGTACAGCCACTAACAATCTCAGTTACTAATCTAAACTACCAATAATAAAATATGCATCTAGTTACAAATCATTTAACAAATCTAATTCTTTTATAAATGCAATAATTAAATGAGAACTGACATTATTAAAAAGATCCTTCATTGTTCGTGATTTTGAAATAGTTATCCCTTGTGATGGAATATTCAATGCAGTCAAGCAAGACATGCTTGACCGTGATTCTTTCATCACAAGGGATACAAAACGGAGGATCCTCACCTTTTAATAGGTATTCATGGGTATATATTGTATGGCCAATACGACATCGTCGTGTTATGACCTCTGCAAATCTGGTCGGACAACCCAAGTAGGTGTAACCAATATAGGGTTTGATTTCATGTAATGTATTGATACCTACTTGAGTGTCCACACAAGTTGAAAACACATAGGTGATAAACAACAAATTATGCACTATTTTCAAATCATTTTCAGTTTATATGATAAGCATATCAATACATGTTATACAATGTCGAGGATAGACACTCTGAATTATACTACAGCACCACATTGACCATAGGGCCTGTAAATCTCGCGAGGCGCTACTTCCGGTACTAAGCTGGTTCCCGGCGACACAGAGCCCTGCCTACACCCGATACCAGATTTCCGGTGACAAGAACTTCAAGAACTTCTACTGGTTCCAAATTGCGGGACCGCCAGATATGACTTTACTAGACCAGACCAAGTATACAACCATGCTTGGCTGTCACAGCTGTTGACAGTCGTAATAGTTGGCGTATTTGGGGATGGTTAGATCCCGCATGGATTATCGGTTCCTTACTGTCCACTGCCAACAATGAAACCATTCGAAAACGTATGAAACGTTGTTGGTCACTCGAAGTACTAAACAACACTAAGGTCTGGCGAAGTGAAGTAACACACTCTTAATGGCACCCAGCAAACGTACATCGCGTTTCCAAGTGATTTGGGGCATCAACCGCGATGGATATAATCAAGCTGGTGTGTCACATCGAATGAAAGACTCTGTAACAAACTCTGTAACACTGAGTGCAATTGCTTACCTTTTCATTCTCATTGTGTCATTTTCTGCTGAATGTGACAATTAATAGTTGTTCCGCTAACACTTCCGCCTTACTTGAGATGAACTGCTTTTAAATGAACGTCGAGTTACCGCCCTTTGTAACTATCAATAACGTATTTGGAGACTGGGGTGCAATTAGGATGTCAAGAGTGAGTGAGTGACTGATTTAACGCCGATGTGAACAGATGTCCATTCTCAACTCTAGGTGATGCTGGTGTTCCCTAGGAATGGTGCTTACACACCTCGAAACACACTCGGGACAAACTGGGATGCGAACCCACAATCATAGGATAAACAACCTGGTCACTGGTCTCGCGAAATAAACAGCAACAACATATGACACAAATAGAACAATGAATACTTACTATTGACCATGGATAAGATACGGAGGGGGGCTCGTTCTGAGGGTTGATGTACCATGTTTGAACGTAATCAAATATGAAAGGGCCACCACCAAATCCTGCTACAATTAGTCCACTGGCTAGACCTTTTCTGTCGGAGATCCACTGTAAATAAAACACAATTAGTGCTGCACGCTTAAAAGCTCATCTGGGTGAGTAGTCAATGGAAACAACGCTCATAAGCCACAGATGTTAAACATCCAAAATTGATATCGAAAAGTCGAATTTCAAATCCACAGTTTTACGAAATATCTATTAATGCAGATTTGATTCTTATTCCGATTATGCAATGAGTTTTTTTAAATGAAATTGTGATGATACGATAACATAAGCGTATCCTGCACCACATGCAGCACGAGTCATATACAAATGCAAAATTCTCGTAAACCTGAAAATGAATTCGGGAGTTGTTTCTTGAATGTATTAAGGACAATGTTTCATTTTCAAAACAGGGATTTGGTGGTACATTTGCTGGACCTAGTATAATAACTTTTAACGGATCCTCCTCATAGGATTACTTATCAATACGTGACTTGTTTGAATAGCCACCTTTAATTACCTTCATTGCACAACTCATGGGTACAACGTATGATATCCCTATTCCGAGACCAAACATCAGACCATACGTCAGAACCACGACGGGCAAGGAGCGTTGGACAGTGATGTAGGTGAAAATGGTGCCTCCGCTGGAACAAATACAGATACAGGCAACGTGATAACTGAATGAGGAAATTGCTTGGGGATTTGGGAGTAATCATGGCTTTGAATATGCAGCTTGGTTGACACCGTACATAGAACAGCACACCACAACAATTATCCTGGTAGAGTTAGTGGGCGGTCGTACAGAATAGAATACAGATCAGGGTGCTGGTGTACAAAGCATCCTTAGCAATAGGATTGCCATAAGTCAATGTTAAAGTATTGGAGTCACAGTCACCTTAGCACTTACAGGACTTGTCATAAGTCAATGTTAAGGTATTGGAGTCACAGTCACCTTAGCACTTACAGGACTTGTCATAAGTCAATGTAAAGGTATTGGAGTCACAGTCACTTTACCACTTAGATCTCTTTGTACAACGACACGTACCCAGAACCTTAGTACTGGCACAGGTTGTGGACACTTCTGTCAGGGTCAGTGGTCGCACGTTCAGGAAACAGTTGTATGTGGGTCAAAAACTTCACCCTTGTGGGATTGGTGGACACAAGTACAGCGGACAGTGGTATACAGGGCACGAACTTTAGCCTGGACACTTAATTATGTCAGGGTCAGTGGACGCACGTTCAGTCAAAAGTTGTATGCGGGTCAATACCTTCATCCTAGTGGGATTGGTGGATACAAGTACAGTGAACAGTGGTATACAGGGCACGAACTTTAGCCTGGACACTTAATTATGTCAGGGTCAGTGGACACACGTTCAGTAAACAGTTATTATTATTATTATTTTTATTATTGAATATTTATGTAGCGCACATATCCATGCACTAGTGCATGCTCAAGGCGCTGGTATTTTTTCCCTCGATCATTGGATGTCAACCTCAACGGCACATCTTATTATTAATCTCAAATCCCTGGCGAGCATACAACTCTTGCTGCCACTAGGCGCACCGAGTTATTGCGGCTTTCCCACCTTACGAGGTACCCATTCACAGCTGGGTGGACTGGGACACATAGTCACAGTACTTTGTCCAAGTTTACTGCACATTGCTGTACCCGCAACTAGGTGTTTGCACGTATTCATGTGGCCACCATCTGGTCATATACCAACTGATTCGTGGGTTCTTTTAAGCGCACAGGTTTTTGTACTGTACACTAGGGGTTGTGACAACACTGAAAGTGTCTGCACACAAAGTTGACTCCTAGGTTTTTACACCTGGTCACGGGTGGGCTCGATCCCGGCACCTCGTGCTCACTGGATCACGAGCCTGGCGCCTTAGCCAGCTCGCCCACCACGTCAATAACTTCATCCTGGTGGAATACACGTTACGGACTTCGTCACGGTAGGATTTCCGGGTACGGGAACAGTTGTCTACATATCACAAACTTCATTCTGGTAGGATTGGTGGACGCATGATAAATGAATAGTGTTATACAGGTAACATACTTCATCCTGGTAAGATTGGTGGATGCCCAATAAGTATGATTTCACATATTGTATTCATTCAGGAAACGGATTGAGCACAAGTTATCCAACTTAATGACGCCCTCTCCCAATATTTACAACAATTATGCATGAGAGATCTTGAGTTTGAGAATATAACAGTTTAGGAAGAACAGATGAATCGTTTAGTTTGAGTGATGTAGTGATGGACATGTTTGAAGATATTCAGATTTTCTTCAGTTGAGAGGTCTGCATTGCCATATATAATAAGACATATATTTGGTAAATATCAATTTTGTAAATTATCACCTATGTTAGCTAACAAAGTTTCTCTATATGTTTTATAACGGGGACAATCCAAGAAATAATGATATACATTTTCACAGAGACATCCACAAGAACAGGATGGATCGGTTATAATGTTGATTCTATACAAATCATAGTTGAGCGTACTTACATTGTATCTTAACTTTGTGTGTAAAATATTTAGCTTACGTATACCAGATGAAAAGTATGATGGGGCACTATTACGCATTGTTGTAATGTTTCTTTTAAATGACGAAATGGAGTCACAGTTGCTTACAGTTGACGGGAGATTGTTCCAGGCTTTTATGGTTGACGGAATAAATGAAGATGTTGAATATTTTGGTCTTGTATTGGGCACAGTATAATTTTGAGCATTACGTAAGTTATAATGGGTTCTTTTTCCTACAACAGGTGGTAACAATTCGTTTGAAAAAGACGGGGCGATGTCATGTTTAATCTTATAAAACAAGTTAAATTTACGCTTCTTTCTTCTCTCCGATAGCAACTCACATCCAGTCTCGTAATAAAGAACTCTACTCGGAGTGTATTTGGGTAGGACAGTTACTATACGAGCTGCCTCAAGTTGTAGTCTTTCTAACTTGTTCGAGTCTTCAATCAGTCACCCACCCCATACCTCACACGCATATTAAAAATGTGGATTATAAACACTGTGTAAATTCTTGATAACGTTATCCTATTCAATAGATATTTAATTTTCTTAAGGCACCGATCGTTTTAGAGGTTTTGTCCACAATAATTCCGATGTGACAAGACCAACTGCCATTTGAAGAAAAAGTTAACCCCAGATGTTTGTGAAAATCAACAATAGCTATACTAACTCCATCAAAATATAGTTTAATAGCTTGGTCACTATCTTGTAAAGAAATTATCATAGCTTTAGTTTTGTCAGGATTATATTTAATCAGCCATTCCTTCGCCCAACTACTCAATAAGGTCAAATTATCGTTCATGTTTTTTTCCAATAAGCATTTGTCTTTTGAAATATCCCCTAGTGCCGTATCATCAGCAAACAGTCTGGTTAAACAATAGAGTATATCGGCTATTTCATTGACGTAAACAATGAACAAGAAAGGACCGAGTACTGAACCTTGTGGAACGCCAGCTTTTAACATTCTCGGGGTGGATAAAGCTCCATTAACAAATACTGATTGATTTCGATTGCTTACATAACTTTTGAACCAATTGAGTAACTTTCCTTTAACACCATACATTTCTAATTTTAACATAAGCCCTTTGTGCCACACTCTATCCAACGCTTTAGGTACATCGCAAAATACCATGCAGTGGTTTTCTTTGTTGTCAAGTGATGTACAAAACTGATTTCAAATTTCAATAGTTGATAAACAGTTGAATGACCAGTTTGGAATCCACATGGATACTAATATAATAACTTATTGTCTAAAAATAGTTATACACATGTCTAAAAACTGCTCTCTCAAACAACTTTCCCACACAACTAATAAGCGATATAGGTCTGTAGTTAGACACAATGGAGTGGTCACCTTTCTCTTCATAAAAGCATTACATTGGCATATTTCCTATTATTGGGATACACACAACAACTAAGGGACATGTTGAATAATAAACACAGTACATGACTAATAGAATTGACCGTTTTCTCAAGCAATTGATGACTGATTCTGTCGGGGCAAGCAGCTTTCTTTACAGGCAAGCATTTGATAATATCGGATATTTCATTACTGGAGAGAATGAAATTTTCCAAAAACGCGTCAGTGCGTTTGTCAAACAGAGGCAGGTCTAAATTCTCATCTTCTTCTAAATGGCAGATAGATTCAAAGTATTCATTCAACAATTAGCCTTTTCCAAGTCTGTGAACGCTGATGGACCCTCTTCGTTGCCATTTCTCTTTAGAGCGGGAATGTAGGAAGCGGAATTTGACTTTTTTACTATGTTTCTTAAAGAACAAATAAACTTTGTTTTTGTGGTACTCTTTTAACTATTACATATGAGAGATTTGTGGTTAGTCTTATGCGGAACACCAAATTCATTCTTAAAAAAACTTGTGGTTAATTAATATGGAGCGATTAAAAGTTGCCAAAAAGTCGCCTGCTTCACTCTCGCCCGCTAACGAAACCACAGACAGGTTAGGTAACTCTGTCGCCAGAGTACTGCAGTGACGTCATATGAGGAAGGATTTTCAGTTAGTTGTATAGAAAGTGTGTAGCATGTCCGTCATTTTGATGATTTCTCAACATCAAGGAAGACATGCCGAATCGTTGCATTGTCGTCAGTTGCTACAAGGGGTCGGGCGATGGTGTCGCCATGCACAGATTTCCACAGGACCCCGTAGTTCGTACTAAATGGGTTATGTTTGTGAGTGCGAAGCGAGCGTTGTGGAAGCCTGAAACGATATCTTAATTGTGTTCAGATCGCTTCACGGAAGTTAAAGAATCAAAACTACTTACTAGTAGTAGTAAAATATGCATATGATTGATGACCATAAAGATTTTCCATGACACAACTTGTAACATAACGATTTCTTCCTCGGAAGCGAGGTTGTGGTCGAAGTGACAATAATACTGTAAGTAGTATTATATTGACACACACCTCGCTTCCATGAGAGAAATTGTTATGTTATAAGCTATGTCATGCCAAATCATATTGG